TTCTTATCATAGTAGAAGCACTAAGATTAAAAAATAAAGATAAAAATCAAGAATGTGCTTGTTATAACTTTAGAAATAATTCCTTAGCCATCCTCACAAAATGACTAATAAACAAACCAACTACAGTAAACATGTTATGATTTAGTTTTCTTTATTATCAAAATATCTTAACAATCGCGGTTCACTTTGATATTATGATCACAAATAATATTCTTATATCATGATTTAAATATAAATTGTATAAAAACATTGTATTATAGTACAAAATCATGTTTCACATGATCACAAATAATATTCTTATATCATGATTTAAATATAAATTGTATAAAAACATTGTATTATAGTATAAAATCATGTTTCACAAATTTTGTATTGAGTTACTATTTGATAAAAACATTTTACCACGCATGACCAATAATTAAATATTCACATAAAACTATTGCATAAAACAAATAATTTAACAATGCTTTTTGCATCTTAAATACTTAATTATTCGCCAAAAAATAAACATTACGTCACCTAACTTTACGCTATGGAATCATGTTTCTACCTTTTTTTTTATTCTGAAAATATGAGCTTTTTTAATTCGATTATTTAAATGTTTTTATTTTAAAACATTAACTATACTTTAAGGAAAATGAGCAATAAGTAGAAATTTTAATTTTAGTTTAATTTTATTAGTTAAAATTCAATTAAGATTTTGTATGCATTTGTTTTCTTTTATAACTGATATAATAAGTTATAATTTATGATTCTCAAATGATAATATACTAAATCGAGTTAAACTTTACTAAATTATAAGATTTAGAAATCATATAGTGTTTATTAAATGTGGAAGTTAAAAATAAAAAAGCATGATTTAATTTTATAAATTAAACTAAAATATGTTCTACTACTGGACGTTTAAAATGATCTCACTGAGTGAGTCGCTGTAAATTACAGTGAGATTTTGGGTTTTCCAATAAATTCTAATCCCTGTTCCAAGTGTCACTGTAATTTACATAAATTATATAAACTACACTGTAATTTAAAACAAGTATAAATTACACTGTACTTTATAGTTTATGTAAATTACAGTAAGATTTAGGATCACCCGGTTATAAAATAAAAGTATAATTCATTTGTACACATTATTAATTATTTAAATAAAAGGAATTTATTTTTCTGATTGAAAATTTTCATAAATTATTGAACTCTCATTCAATTAGACATATAGGTCTTATATCCGTTATAGTTCAACCATAAATTATGGCATAATATAATTTATGTTCTGTTGTCCATTAATATTGTATAAATGATCTGTCAAATTTCTTATTATTGCATAAATGATTATCAAATTTTATTATAAATTGTGCTGTAACTTGCTTAATAGAATTTTACAGTTATATGATTATATTGTTGTTTAGTTATTGTGCGTTACTACCTAAAACACTTATAATCCAATAGAATATATGATCAAAGTATAAGAGTCACATGATAATCAAATTAAAATTTTTATATAAGTATTAAAAAAAGATTCATATCATAGATTTAATGCTCTAGTTTCACAAAAAAACTATACAGAATAAGCAAGTGTAATGTTTCTATTAAAATGGGTTCATAAAAAAGTATTCTATTAGAATACTCTGCATAATATATATATATATATATATATATATATATATATATATATATATATATATATATATATATATATATATATATATATATATATTTTTTAAATATGATTGTTTTTTGGTTCATGCAGTTATTCTATTATCTCTATTCAGAACGTATATACTATGAGAGGAATTTTAGTCTTTTTAAAGAGGTTACAATGTTCTTTATCCAACTATATTATGCAGCAATTGAACTTAATGAACAGACAATTTTCCTATGATGTTAAACTTTGCATGTAGTTTAATTTGCTTTTTCTTCAGTATTGCTGTAAAGTTTTTGTCTTCATTCAGATTTAATTCATCGTTTAATTTTTCGAACCTGCTGCAACTAAAGTCAGAAAAAACGAAATAGTATTTTCTTTATGCTCACAAAATTCATTACCTTTCTTAAAAAAATAGATAAAAAAAGTTAATGTTGAGGTTATAAGGTTAACTAAATATTTCTAGGTAAAAAATATTTTGTAAAATGAGTGATTAATATAAATTTGTAGTTCAAAATATAAATAAAAACTCCAACAAAATAATATTTTATTCTATATCTGAGTTATTCTATATCTTAGATTTTATTTTATATCTGAGTAATCTGAATAATTTAATACTTAATTATTAATTTAATCATTTCTGCCTAAGTAATTTAATCATTTTCTTACCTTATTTACATTAAAATTTTTTGCTACTTCAAATTTAAAAGTCATTTTTTATTGCAGAAACAATTCAAGAAATGAATTCGAGTCAGCTTTCTTCTTGAAACATGTGTTACATGCAAAATAAAGTAATATAAACAAATTATTTTCTGTTTTAAATCACAAAACATTAGTATAAAAATGACAAATTGAACTAAATTTTGTTCTGATTTGATTAATATAAATAAATTAAAGCAGATTTAAAAAATATTGATTGTTGACATTTTTCTATTTTTCTATTAATTCCT